CCATGTCCAAAATCACGAAATCTGCCAGGTAGATAAATTTATCTACCTTCACCAGTATATCTTTGATAATTCATCTAGAAAACTTTATGGACATGTCTGCCGCTGCAAAGAGGTTTATGTTGCCCTTGCCTCTCCTAAGTTTAATTTCCTAAAAATATAGTGAGGCACAAGGTTAATGCTAGCACCTAAATCACAAAGAACCTTATCAAATGTCATGTCACCAGTAGTACAAGGGATAGTAAAATTCCATGTGTCCTTTAGTTTAAGTGGTAGCTTATTTTGTAGGATGCCACTACATTATTCGTTCAACATAACCATCCCCAACTCCTCCAGCTTCTTCTTGTTTTTAGGTATCTCATTCATGATTTTGGGTAGCTGGGCATTTATGCAAGTGCATCCAAAAATGGTATATTAATATGCAGCTTTTTGAATGCCTCAAGGAATTTTGAAAACTACTTGTCTAGCTTATGCTTTTGTAGCCTATGTGGAAATGGTAGTGGTTGAATGATTTCTTTGGCAGGAGCGGTTACCTTTACCTTTGGATCCTTTGATGCTTTCTCTTGTTCTTTGTACTGCCCAAATTCTTTCAAGTGCTCTTCAACCGAGGTAGATACCTTCTCTTCTATAGCAATTGGTCACTTCACATTTATCTCAGATAGTTGCATCCTACCGCGAGTAGTTATAGCCTTACATTGCTCCTTAGGATTCGTTTCAGTGTAACTAGGCAATGCTCTGGTAATCTATCTGAAAGTGCCTTTGCCATCCGTCCCATCTGATTTTCCAATTTTTTATGGCAGCTCCATAAACTTGCAATCTCTTATATGTTCTTTGCATGTTTTGAGTATATATTTTCGCCAACTTAATCACAAAATCTTATAAAGAAGACTTCTTCTCATTCTATCGAAAGCCTGGCGGTACAGTTTGCTGTGGTACGGTCTGAACACCTTGGTTATTACTCCACTGAAAACCTAGGTGATTTCTCCAGCTTGGGTAAAATGTGTTAGAATTTGGATTGTGTTGTTGCCCTTGAAAATTCTGAGTGTAGTTTACATCATTCACTATCTGAACAAAAAGAGATCCTACATTACAATCAAAAGTCTCATGGTTCCCTTTACAATGTTCGCATTTCAATCCTATTGTCCAAGTTGTGTTCATCTAATCTACCTTCTATGCCAATGATGCCAACTGTACTGAAATTGCTATCAAAGAATCAACTTCGAATGCCCTAGCAGCTCTCTTTCCACTCATCCTTTCAGTAGGCCAAAGTGCACTGGTAAATGTCAGATCCTACATGATTTGATAGATTTTTCCGTAGTTCTTTTTATGATAGAACCATCAATGCAGAGTCGATATTATCCATGATTATCAAATTTAGACCAATGTAGAAATATTGCACCTGAAGCCATTTCTACAATCTGTGTTGAGGGTATTGGCGGAGTAAACTCTTGCATCATTCCTAAGCCTTTGAATAGCATTTTGAGTCCAGTTATTGGAATGTGGTAATCTCGTCCTCAGCTTTGCAATCCTTTTCGGTGGAAAATATTTACTAAGAAATTTCTGACTCAATTGGTTCCATGTAGTGATGGTATGAGGTAGATAAGTGTCTAACCACTCTCTGGCCAAGTCTCTCAATGTGTATGGTAAAAGCCCTAGTCTGACTATTTCACTGGACACCCTTGGATACTCGATAGTTGCACACATGTCTAGAAACCTTGATATATGATCAATGGGATTCTCTGTAGCTCTCCCAAAAAATTGTAGCGCGTTTTGGAACATGTTGATCACGTCGGTCCTCAGGTAGAAGTTTGTCTGACCAAATGCTAGATATACCATGCTAGATCGAATTTCCACAACTGGTGGAACCATGTGCTCCCCCATTAGCCTTACATTTTCAATAGCTACAACCACATTCGGTTTTGCTGCTTCCAAATTAGGCCCGTTGACCATTTGATTTGGATTTTCCTCTGTTATGTCTTCCTTTTTCTATTTTTGGTGTGTTTTTAACTGTTGTCTTTTTCGAAAGTTGAATGTTCGTTCGATCTTTAGGTCAAATTGAGCAAGATCACCGATTCTTGAATTTTGCATACAAAGTCTTGAAAAAAGAAGTAGGAAACACTGTAATATTTTTCTAATATAATAAACTAAACTAAAAAATAGTAAAATCCAAATTAAAGCTAAAATTAACTAAACTTATCAAAAATAATAGTTCCTGACAACGGCGTCAAAAACTTGATCCTTTGAAAATCTGCAAGTGAACGAGATCGTGAACAAGTAATAAAATAGTTAATAAAGTGTCGAACCAACAAGAATTACGTGTTTGATCAAGTTAAAATTAACTGCAACTCTAATCGAATAGCAAACAAATTTTGTGAGTTTTCCTATACTAATACCTAAATTATCAATTAAATTAATGAAAGTAAGTAAATGTGTTTTTTCAAGTATGTGAGATGTATTGCTAAGATGTCGAATTCGCTTTGTTATTCCATTTTTAGTGTAACAGTTTGAAATCATTTAATTGAAAGTCTCACTCGATAGCGATCAAATATGTTTCCCTTATGTGACCCTTCTAAATCATTTAATTGAAAGTCTCACTCGATAGCGATCAAATATGTTTCCCTTATGTGACCCTTCTAAATCATTTAATTGAAAGTCTCACTC